ACTTCTCCTTTGATGACTTGTGGAGGAATTGGCTAGTAATAGCTAACACTTCAACAAAGAAKGATARAATTCTGTCAAAATGGATTCCGCCTTTGGAAGGTGTCATCAAGCTGAACTTTGATRGAAGCAGCCAAGGCAACCCAGGGCCTTCAGGTATAGGGGGTATCCTGAGAAATAAGGACAGCAACATAATTTCCCTATTCTCCGGACCGGTGGGAGTGGGGGATTCCACACGGGCAGAAATCCTTGCTGCAGTACAAGGAATTCAGATCACCAACCAGCTTGGGGTGGAGCATCTCCTAGTTGAAGGGGACTCTCGGGTGTTAACAAGGTGGCTCCTAAATTTGGATACCACCATTTGGGGCTACAAAGATCTYATCAAAAAAGTAAAGTGGTTAACCAGCAATATGAGAGTTGAGGTAAAATGGGTTAGTAGGTCTGCTAATTCTTTGGCTGATGCTTTAGCCAAACAGGGGGTTTATAGGGAAGATCTTTTTTGTGTTTCTATGTAAGTTGTTATTAATTTGGAAATCTGTACTTAACTAGCCCGGAGAGGTTGCAACTCGTGCCTTTCCTTGGGGACTTTGTACTATTGTCTATTGCTGATTAATAAAATTATTTCAATTATCAAAAAAAAAAAATTTCTGATCTGTACCAACTTCCTCTGTTTTATTAGGAACTATGTTTATATTACTGGCACTGCCTTTTAATGGTTGTATCATGGTCATTTCTGCCTTTAACTTGATTGTACCAATAGTCTTTGCATTGCTCATACTTTCTTGAACATACTGGTGCTGTAGGTGGAGATGGTGCACAGTAAGAGGCTTAATGTGCAGAAGTTTTACATTGGAGGCACCCCACGGAAAATTCTATATCACAGTGAAAGCAGATTATTGCTTTTGATGAGGACTGATCTAAGTTCTGAGTTGAGTTCATCTGATATTTGCTATGTAGATCCTCTAAGTGGTTCATTGCTTTCAACATTTAAGCTTGAACCTGGAGAAATAGGAAAATCCATGCAGTTGGTGAAGGTCGGAAATGAACAGGTCTTGGTGGTTGGAACAAGTCAGTCTACTGGTCCAGCTATAATGCCCAGTGGTGAAGCTGAAAGGTTAACCATCTTCCAAAAGCTTATTCCATTGCCTTACTATTTCTACAAATCCAGTCTAGCTGCAACTTGATAATTAAAGCTCTGTTAGGTTGAAATGAATCAGTATGAAAGAAGGTTAAATAAATAGAGAAACTAAAACCCAAGAAGGCTATGGCTGCCTCAACGCAGCTTCCCCATACACCATAAGCAGCAGAAAAAAATGCCTTAGGGACTAAAGGGTGTCTACTTGTTCTCTGCCACATACCATCTTCTTTCGCCTGCTCAACTCTGGAAAACCACTCACAGCCAAAAGAATCTAGCATAATACTCCATGATGATAAATGATTATTCATTTATGTTGATTTCCTCATGCAAATGATCTCTTATCAGCTATTTGGTATTTTATGTATGATTAATAGCATTTTTATCCCTGGTCTTGTGTTTTTGCAACAGTACCAAAGGGCGTCTACTTGTTCTCTGTCTCGAGCACTTTCAGAATTCAGATAGCAGTTCATTAGTATTTTGTTCCAAGCCAGGCTCATCTTCTCAACTAACTTCACCTTTTCGTGAAATTGTTGGGTATGCCACTGAGCAGCTATCAAGTAGTAGTCTTTGCAGCAGCCCGGATGATAATAGTTGTGATGGTGTTAAACTTGAAGAAACTGAAGCATGGCAGTTACGCTTAGCATATCAGACCCCATTAGCTGGGATGGTACTTGCTGTTTGTCCATATCTGGAGCGTTACTTCTTGGCTGCTGCTGGAAATACTGTAAGTTAATTATGTTGCCATTTGCTACATATGCCAATAGCTTGCTATGGTGAATATGATTTATTTAACTTGTTTCCTTTGGTATTAACTGATGAGGCTTTTCTTTCTTTAGTTGTATGTATATGGTTTCCTGAATGAGAATCCTCAGCGGGTGAGAAGGCTTGCTCTGGGGAGGACGCGCTTTGCCATAACATGTTTGACTACACAATTTAACAGGATTGCAGTTGGTGATTGTCGTGATGGCATCCTTTTCTATACCTATCAAGAGGTATGCTGTCCTTTTCAATAAACTGTTATGTGTATAGCAGATTCTATCTCTGTGAGTGATCTTTTAATTTAGAAGTGAAGAACTATTTTAATTTCTGTTTTTCATCTTTGTGGGGGTTTGCCTATTGTGCTTTCTCATGTATCAGGATCTTAGGAAATTAGAGCAGCTTTACTGTGATCCAGTACAGAGACTGGTGGCTGACTGCACTCTTGTGGATATGGATACTGCTGTTGTCTCAGATCGCAAAGGGAGCATTGCTGTCTTATCATCAACAGATCATTTAGAAGGTAAGTTTGTCCTCCTTTTTCCTTTTCCTTTCTTTCTATTCCATTCTTCCTTTTTTTCCCCTGCTTTATCTGGAGACTGGAATGATTCCACAAAACTTGTATTCTTAAGAAAAGAAAGTGGTATTGGAAAAGCGAAAGAACTTCAGTGTCCACCAAACCAGTGCATTCTGTGTCTGGTCATATGTAACAAAATGCATTGTGAATGCACAATTTTTCTATTCATGTGATGAGTTTGCAGAGCATTTTTTTGGAAGTTGAAATCTTTCATATATATTCATATATATATATATATCATGATAATTGACTGTGGATAAATGTAGGGCTACAAGTCAGGTTGCCTGGCTTGAAGAACTTCAACTAGTTCATGCTCAGGTTAGGGTTTATTGAAAATTCAACAAAATCCCAATCCAACCCAACCCAAGGTGCACCTGTAGATAAATGTGATAGAATAAAAAAGAAAGTGTTGTAGAAATTACGAGTGCACGTAATTTAGTTATATTAGGGGCCATTGCTTGGTATAATGGTAAAATCTTGGACTGGCAAAGTGTGAGGACAAGGTTTGAGTCTGAGAGTGGCCACTTTGTGCAGAAATCCTAAAGGTTAGGTCCATATCTAGTTGACACCTACCAAGACCTGGGACAACATTGTTCAGTGGCCCTTTTACATAATTTAGATGCATTGGTTTTGGATAAATGTCTCTCTTTTCACACTTCTGGACCCAGAAACTGGATAGTTGGGTCTAATTAGGTTTAGTGGTTCCATTAGAGCAGAGATTGTGAAATTACTATTGGATTTCTGACTGTGTTTCCACTTGGATTTGAATACGTTGAGGTTGTTTTCAAAATATTTCCTTACTATTGCTTATCATAAACCATTGCAAAGTCTAAAATTGTATCTCTTATTTCATTCCTCTCGCCAAACCCAAATCCTCAAGGGCTAGCCCTGTCCTTGCAATATACAGGGAAACTACAAAAGAGCCAAAAGAAAGCAATGAAAACTATAAGAGTACTATCTCTGTCCTTGCAATACAAAAGAATCTCCAAGGTCCACATCCAGCCACAAAAATCAGCAAACTTTGAATGACAAGAAGTATCTTCGAGACAACACCTGAACCTCCTGCAAGCAAGGTTCAAAATATCGATACGTATCGGCCCGTATTGGCCGATACGTATTGTATTGGGAGCTTCCCGGTATGCCCCTACAGAGGGTGTATCAGGGTTTTGATCGGTTCAGGGGGTGGATGGACCGACCTTAAACCGGCCCCTCTGAACCGGATTTGAAAAAAAACTAAAAAAAAACTATCGATACGCCTCTACCAGCGTATCGGGCGTATTGATATTTTGAACCTCTGCAAGTGCTTCCTGTCAAAAGCTACTGGAGCTGATCAACTGCTTTTCTCCTTGCACCTCTCCTTTGATCTATCATACTTTTAATTAATATGCTATGATACATCATTAGACTTATTTGAAAAAAAATTTCCAAACACCTTTGGTGATTTACCTGGGATAACAGTTGATTTCTTATTTCATCCTATGCCACATCAAATTCATTTGAACTTGTTCTACATTGATAGACTTATTTGTTAAGGATGGGAAAAATTCCATTATGCTTTTTGGTGGTTTATAATTACTTTTGTTTTTGAAAAAAAAAGAATCTGAAACAGGTTGAACAGGTAAATTGAGCTCCATAATTTATTTGGCCTAGTAAAGTACATAGCATTCCCTACCTAGGTCAACTGGCAATCCATTGTGCACTTTTCCTTTCATATTCTGTCCTTCCTTTGCTACAACATGTAACTATTGTTTTTGTAATACAGGTTTTTCACTCTTTTCATGCATTTATTTATTTTCTGATTTTGAGTTTTCTCTATTTTAATCAGTATCTTGACTCTGGGTTTGAGTTACATTGAATTGGATGGTTGGTGTTTCTGATGTCAAATTAATAAATTTTCCTTCCCATACCTTTCAGATCCTCATTATCTTGAATATTTTAGTTGATTATGTGTTATAAGTTTGCTTGAATATTTATGTTCTCTTTTATTTCCTTTTATTTTGTCTCAGATAATGCAAGCCCAGAATGCAATTTAAACTTAAGTGGTTCATATTACATAGGAGAGATAGCCATGAGCATCAGAAAAGTGAGTCCTTTTTACTATTGTTTTGTAGTTCTGAAAGGCATTTGTTAAATTTGTGTTATTTTTTGGATTCTATTTTATATAAGAAGTGTCCCCTCATGAAAAATTCTTGTGATTGAGGCACTGGTACACCTTATTTTTTATGAGGGGGCACACCCTTATTTCTCCTGAACAGACAAATTATAGATCATGTATTAATAGCTCATGAAATGTTTAATTCTATGAGGAAAAAGAAAGCGGGTGAGGAGTCATGGCTTACAAAATTGATATGGAAAAGGCTTGTGATAGCCTAGAATGGAAATCTATAGATGAAATTTTATGAAATTTCAGCTTCCATGAAAAGTGTATAAAATGGATGATGTAGTGCATAATGATAGTGTCATTTCGAATCCTCATAAGTTGGCAATGGCTATTAACGGGATGGTTAAAAAATGAAAAAAAGGCTGCCTGGATTTACCGAGATTTGGTAAAGAAGATCAAGTGGCATCTAAAGAGGTGTATCAGTGGGTTCCAAGGGCTGCTAACGGGCTGACACATTCTCTAGCAAGGCAAGGGGCTTTAAGGGAGCAATATTTTGGGCTCAATTATTTTAAGGAGCAAGTGTTTCACCTGTTCCTGTGGGCAAGGGGTGGTTAGAGAGTGATTGTCTTGGGCTCAATTGTTTTAACTAATTTTTAGGGGTACTCATACCTCGGTTGTAATTCACTGTATATTCTTGTTTATATTAATGAAATGATTCCTGTTATCTATCCAAAAAAAAGAGGATTTCAGGGCATGCATATGTTAACTGAGAACACTCAAAGCATATGCAAATATTTGGTGGAGTCATAGAGAGGTACAACAACTACCCAACAAGTCTTTGGAACTGTCTCACATCCACCATTGTATTTCCTGCACCATCTCCTAGCCTGTGATTAGGTTCAGTAGGAGCGTTGGTGGGTTTGCACCGAAGTTTACCTGCATCTTGTAAGAGATCTAGGATATACTTCCACTGGGAAATGAAGGTGCCCTTGTTGGACCTAGCTACTTCATTCCCTAGGAAATATTTAAGGGGACCTAAATGTTTAACATCAGGTTATGAAGCAAGGAATTGTTTCAACTTTTGTATCTTTGTCTCCCATTTACCTGTGATAACAATATCAATATATCATCCACATACACAATAAGAGAACAAGTTTCTTGTCTTCCCTCTTTGCAAACATTGTATGGTTTGATTGGCACTGTTTAAACCCCATCTTCTGAACAGCTTTGTTGAATCAACCAAACCAAGCCCTTGGTGACTATTTCAGCCCATATGAAGACTTTCTAAGACAATACACCTTCCTCTCACTTCTCTTCTCATGAAAACCTAAAGGCTGAATCATATATACTTCTTCCAATTATACATGTGTTGGTCCTAGCCTTTAGGCAGTGCAAACCTAGGTTGAGCCTGACTCGCCTTATTCCAACCCATGCCTGGACCTATTATATACATGTATATATGTATATATAGACAGACACATATTTGCATGCATTTGTGCATGATTTTTTTAATAAACCATACATATTTTCATTTACGCATACATGTATATCAATTTTTTGTGTGGGCTGATTGACTAACCTGAGCCAAGGTCAGTCTCAAGCCCAACCTGAGTGGCGAGTGCATCAAATATTAGTGTGGGATGGGCTCGGGTTGGATAGTTTGGGCTTGACCTTGGGCTCGGGCCTTAAGCTCAATTCTTAGGGTTGGGCTAAAACCCTGTCCAGCCTGGACTGTAGGTTCCTTAGTCTCATCAAGAATATGGGAGAGGAGAGGAAGTTCAAGCTGGCGGGGAAATGGAGACTGGATTTGTCCATTGAAGCAAAATCTTTCCTCTTTGAGCAGGGAAGGACAAAGGGGAAGGCTCTATTGAAAATCAGAGAAGGGAGCAGGGCGTCGATTCTCCTACCAGAGGAGGCCTGTGTGTGGCTGAAAGGTTTTGTAGATGGAACTGTAAATTCCTTTCGAGAAGAAGGTTGGAGAAACTCGTTGACCTGTGAGAACAAGAGGTTCGAAGCTGTGCTAAAAAGGAATGGAAAAGGGTGGTTCATTATGGCCACCGAATTCTTTGGTTTTAACAAAAAGCAAGTGTTGTGTATTCCAGAAGGTCTGAAGCGAAGAGGGTGGGCTTCTTTCACTTCTAATCTTCAGGCTTTTCTCTTGGAGGTCGAAGGTGGAGTAGAAGAAGCCCCTGGCTCGAAGGATTGTTCTATGCTCCGCCCAAAGCTTTACCGTGAAGTTTTGGTGTCCAGCTCGTCTGTCTTCCGACGAGTAGCAGTGGAAGAAGGGAGAGGGAGCTGGGAGAAGAGGGTGGTTTTAGTGGCAGAAAGGGTGATAGAAGACTGGACGAAAGTTATAGAAGTTTTAACAGAGAGGTTGGGATCAGAGGAAGATGTATTGTTGCTACCTTTTGCTAAAAAGAAAGCCCTACTAGATATTGGA